TTTTTTTTTTTTTTTTTTCTTGACTGATTTTTTTACAGTCTGTTAAGGTTTAAATTTCACTGCCAGTCTCCACATTTCATATATTCCTATTGCTCCTACAAAAACAAAACATGAAGTTGACATTTCCACTTGTAAAGCAAACACTTGGGTTTTATCAGAGCTGGTGCATGTAAATAAAGCATAAACTACTGAAAAGCTGGAGTTTGATGTTGTCTTTTGTTTTTAAATCTGTCCCTAGAGGAATTCCACAGCTGTGGAGGTGACTTGCTATTGGATAATCATAGCATTGAAGAACCAATCACACGCTGTATCCAAGAGGAATAGACTATTTGGGCCTAAATCAGGGTTTTTGAAGGCAAGGAGCTATAATTGGTGAATTCAGTTGCTCCTCAAAGATGTAATAGTACAGTGATGCAATGACTTGTATTTGAGATTTTTATTACAAACTAGAGGACAAAACAAAAAATTACATTGTGACTGAAGAGACTGACATCACTGACATGACAGCCCAAAGACTGGTTGACTGCACTGAAACGATGGAGCCCTCTAGAGCCTGAATGGAGTCACTGAGTCCAGATGACCATGCCCATGGATGTTTGTCTCCATGGACACACCACAACAAGTCAGCGTTGAGGCAGAGATTTAGCAGGGCTAAAGGATAGAGAGGGATATATATAATTTTTTTTTTTTTTTTTTTTTTGGTCATTTGAATGTGTTGATCATTGAAGATGTCAGACATGTGTGCAGTGTACAAAGTTTCCTCCTCTGTGAAGGTGAAGCAGATGGAGGCAGAGCTGTGGAGTCACCTCTCTGCACTCAAGGCAGAGATTGAAGAGAATAGAGGAGCAGGATCTTCTAATGCCTACAGGTTTGTCTGTGATGTATTATTTAAGCTCAGATTGCCAAAAGGGTAGACCTGAAAGCTATCCTTAACTCAAAATATGGCCGGTTGTTATTTAACATGAATGTTTGCCCTTCACAATGCAGACCGATGTACTTATGTGCTCAAATAACCCTGCACATTTCAGATTTCTGTTCTGAAGCAGGACGCCTTTCGGTTTTCCACCTTAAATCCAAGTTTAAGATGCATATAAGGCTTGTAAAGTATGCAACACAAGTATTACCAGTAGTGATGATAAATTCACATTAACAGGCAGCTGAACTTTTTTGTTAGCGTTATGTTCCCTGTATATTTATCCATTTCTTCTTTTTGGTTTTTTTTAAAAGCCTAAGTAGTGTAGCAGCATAGTAGTCACTTTAGGTAAAATGTGACAGATCTGAGCTGTGACTGATTTGTGGGCATTTACATTTTAAACCCATGATGTTTGTAAAAGTTTTTGTTCCAGTTCTGTACTACCTCCTAAAGATATTTCCTCCTTTCGTGTGGAGAGGGAGCATGCACTGAGGAGAGGGCTTCAGGTGATGCTTTCTACAGAAAGTTCATTATTAGTCTTGCATTGTTAGGCTTTGAAATCTTTGATTTATATACAATTTTAAGTGAAGGCATTATTTTTAGGGGGTTTTTTTTAGGTGTAGTTTGTTTTCTGCTGGTTTCAGGTGGCTGACATTTTGCCGACTCGGTCTCAGGCTGATATCATGCAGCGAGAGCTGGAGAGCTGCTTGAGTTTGGAGTACACTCCTGACAGTCTGCCTCTTCTGCTGCACCAGGTCAGGACAGAGACGGAAAATTTATGCCTGAAACAAGAAGCAGAAACAGATTTTTTTTTGGATTTTTTTTGAAAAGTTTTTAAACTTAAACCAGTTTCCTTTTTGTATTTTTACCACAGTTCTTCACAGACAGATCTTATCACTTGGCTCAGATCAGATATCTGCTCATGCTGAGATGGAGGAGATTTTGCCACCATGCCAGCGTTATTGAGAAGCTTTATCCCCATTATAAGGTTGCCATGTGTAAACGAACAGCATGACCTAGCAGTGTTTTAACAATACTCTAAAAAAAAGTACATCTTTTCACTGTACTTTTGTACTGGTTTGTGGTCATTTTCTGCATTTTATTCTGTATCTACCTTTAATCTGAGTTTAAAAATATGGCAAATATCACAGAATACATTTCCCAAAAAACACAGGATGCTCTACACGAGTGTGAATGTGACTTAAAAACATGTTTAACTAGTACACAATTAAGGTAGCATTAATTCTGAAAGGTGTATATACTCACTGGACACTTTATTAGCATTAGCTTGCTAGTACAAGTTCTGTTACTGTTGCCTTCCTGTCGGTACGACTTGGATATCTGTGGATATTTTGTTTGTTTTTTTTGGACCATTCTCTGTAAATCCTAGAGGTGGTCATGTGTGGGGAAACCCCAGTAGATCAGAAGTTTCTGAAATGGCAACATTCATGCCAAATTCAAATTCCAAATGACCTTTCTTCTTCATTCTGAAGTGCGGTTTGAACTTCAGCAGGTCTTCTTGACAATGGCTGGTTGCATTAATGAGTAGTTGAACAGGTGAGAGTAACTACAGGTTTTTGGATTTCTTTTTCAGGGCAGCTGTTGTTTGCATCATCTTAGATCACAAATCACGCTGCAAAGTTTCACAGCAGCATAGTAAGAGACAGAGGGCTAAATTATCCTGTCTGCAGTCATGTTTTCCATCTTTGTGTTACTTTCTCTTATATATGAGCTTTAAATGATAACAAATACTTGGGATCCAGTTATTTAGATTTTATACAGCATCTGTGATTTAATAATTTTTCAGAATGCAGTCAGTTCAGGAAGCATACGGTTCCTTGTACACTATTTTGAACGTCACTGGAAAATGTTCTCCTCGTGTAAACAGCTGGAGAATGCTGAATCTTTTATTTCTAAAGAACGAGAAGAATCGTACAGATGTCGCACTGAAAAATGCATCATCGTATCAGACTTGTTTTGTCTCAGGATCAGGTGTCCTACATGACCCGTGAGTATCAGGATGCCGTTCAGAGAGCTCGCAGACTGTCAGCAAGCAGAGAGAAGATGCTGACCGGCCGAGGAAACCCTGTCAGCCTGCTCACTCAGGACGATGTCGTCATTTATCTGCAGTGGCTTGTCTGCCACCTGCACTCTGTTCAGCCCATCCACCACTTTCTCAGGGTAAAAAGCCACAGACAGATTTTATCACTGTTCATCCTGTCTGATGCCTGTGGTGCTTTATTTCACATTAAAATTTGCTTTAACAGGTGCTCCACTATGTACCTATGTGTGAAAGAAAAGATGAAGCACCAGGAAAGGATTGTGGGGAAATTTTGCATGAAAGGCAACAGGCTGATGGTGAGCTTTTCCCTTCATACATGTTTTTTGTAATCTTTTGGAAATAAAAAAAAAATAGTAAAAAAAAGTTTACATTTAACTGTATTTCAGTACTACCACTCCACACAGTTCACCTGGAGCAGTTCATGCCCGAGCTGGAGTCCCTGCTCGCCTACTTCTGCCTGCCGTATGACACAGGAAATCTGAAAACCACTGCAGATGAGATGGAGCTATTCAGCATGGTATATTTGACCTCAAAAGGTGGTGAAATTTAAAATGCATTTAAATTATTGGTCTGAATCGCAGCTGCTGTCTGTCCAGGTGTGGAGGGAGTTTAAAACAATCTTCCGACAACAAGAGCAGATGAAAACGTTTCCTCCTTACGACGGTATGGACGTCAGAGAGAGTCAGTGGGGGAGGAAGAGTGCAAACATGGCTGTATGCAAGGAGGCTAACTGGATTCCTTTCATCCAGGTTTGAGGGGAAACAAATAAAATAGTAAAATAATCTCTTCAAATACTGTTTCCTGTGATGCTCGGTGCTTTAGAGTTCATCAGTATCTGGCAAAACATTTGCATTTTTTAAAAAAAATTTTCTGTAAGCACTTGTGTTTTTATGGATTCTGTAGTCTTTCAGACGTTTGCAGGATGCTAGAAACTGATTGTTTGGTTTCCGCTCTGTAGGTGAAACCCAGGCGAGATCCGTGGCAGCAGAAGCTCTTCACAGAGCTCAAGGAAAAGAATTCAGTTGATGAGCTGCTCCAGATGCAGTGCAAGTTTCTTCAGGTAAAAAGCGAGTCTGCTCTGAATCAGTGTCACGCATCCTTCAAAATGGGTGAAATGATTGCAAATGATTAATAAATATATAGTTACAACTGACTAACTGATAACTGGTGAAAAGAACATAAGTGAGAATTTGCTAACAGTGCATTACACTAATGCCACTTTATTAGGTACACCTTTTCAGCTGCAATGTCATATGAGCCAATGACCTCGGAGTATTTAGGCATGTGGACATAGTCGAGACAAGCATACAAGCATGGATCCATCCTGCCTTGAAGCAGCAGCTCAGACTGGTGCTGGTACCGGAATGATTTCTGGGATATTTTTTGGTACACTTCAGCTTCATTAGTAACAGCTGATCACTTAAAATCTCTGAGAAATGTATCCAGAACTTTCTTGAATCGGTGCCACAAAAAATGAACACAGTTCTGAAGAAAAGCCAGTACTAGCAACGTGTACCTAATGAAGTGTCCTGACTGTATATAATGCCTTTTTATTTTAATGATTTTTGTCACGTTTTGTTATGCTGTCCTCACTGTGTATCTGAGCAGGTCCGCAATTTGCTCCACGTGGCTGCAGCTCTCAAAGAACATGCTGCACAAGTTGGCGACTCACAATCCACATCGTTCATCTCAAGCAGCCGCAAGACAAAAAAACAAATGATTTCTGAGATCTGGAAAAATGTTTACAACGCTGCCAATCTCATTCAGGTGTGTGTCGTCTAGTTTTCGACTTGGGAGATGTAAAAATTCAGTCAGTGCAATAACACTGACATTTATGTTAATAGGAAACCCACAGTCACTCATTCGCATCCAGAGGGAGCAGAGGCAGCAACAAAGAGATTTCAAAGAGTCAGACTTCAAGCTTTTACCATGAAAGGTGTGTTTATTCAAAGAAAAATTGCTTTGCAGAATTTATTCATCACATTACTTTGGTCACTTGTGAGGCTGAAAGCCTTTTAAGACTAAGGAAAACATCAGCTCTTTTCCCACTCACTCATATTATCGTGGCACAGTCAGTCTTTGGAGGACAACCTGCAGGTCCTGGGCCTGGATGACAGTTTACCTGAAGGCTTCTCGGGTCCAGTAGTAACCAGAGGAGCTTACCTGTCCCTCATCTTTCTGCGCCACTTGAAACTCAGAGAGCTCCAGGTACAGTAGTAGTATTTTCTACTAGTATTTATGTGGCAGGTATGTAAGTGCATGTTGATGTATGCAGTATAATAGATACATTTCATTGGCATTGGGGTGAGAGGAGCAAGAGAAATGCAGTTAAATGCAGGGAGGTCTTTTAACACATAGTGAGTGAAAAAGGTGACTGAAGAAGACACACCAAATGCCTCATGGGAATCCCCCAGCAGCCTACAACTATTGCAGTGTAACTAAGGGAGGATTCAGGGTCACCTGATCCAGCCCCAACTATATGCCTTATCAAAAAGGAAAGTTTTAAGCCTAATCTTAAAAGTAGAGAGGGTGTCTTTCTCCCAAATTCAAACTGGAAGCTTCTTTCACAGAAGAGGGGCCTGAAAGCTGAAAGCTCTGCCTCCCTTTCTACTTTTAAATACTCTAGGAACAACAAGTAAGCCTGCATTCTGAGGGTGAAAAGCTCTAATGGGGTGATATGGTACTATAAAGTCATTGAAATAAGATGGGGCCTGATTATTCAATACTTTATATGTGAAGAGCAGGATTTTAAATTCGATTCTGGATGTAACAGGGAGCCAATGAAGGGAAGCCAATGTGGGAGAAATACGCTTTCTTTCTAGTCCCTGTCAGTACTTCGGATCAACTGAAGGTTGATAATAATGAATTAGAGTAGTCCAGCCTAGAAGTAATACTAAGTAATGCCTATGACCTAGTTCTTTGGCATCACTCTAACACAGGGTGTTTCTAATTTTAGAGATATTGCACAATTGGAAGAACTCAGTCCTACATATTTCTTTAATATGCACATTGAATGGCATATCCTGGTCAAGAATGAGTCCAAGATTTTCAGGGCCAAGTGCAATAACCTCAGTTTTATCTAAACAGAATTGGTCCTAGCACTGAACCCTGTGAAACTCCATAATTAACCTTAGTGTGTGAAGAGGACTCTCCATTTACATGAACAAACTGGAGTCTATTAGGTACGATTCAAACCACTGCAGCACGGTACCTTTAATTGCTACTGCATGCTCTAATCGCTGTAATAAAGTTTTAGGGTCGACAGGATCAAACGCTGCACTGAGGTCTAGCAGGAAAAGCTAAGAGACGAGTCCACTTCTAAGGCAATTAGAAGATCATTTGTAACCTTCACTAAAGCGTTTTTTTAAAATTACCTCCTGCCAGGTTGAAGGCCAGTGGTACATAGCTGATTATTATAGAGAGGTTGACCATATTTAAGACTGAAACATTAATTATTGGTGGGACTTCTCTCAGCAGTCTTGAATGGGGTCTAAAAGACATGTTGATGCTTTGGAGGAAGTAATAACTGAAGTCAGCTGTACATAATGTTACGTCTGTGAGATGGTTACGAGTGACTTTTTCTCTAATCAAATCAAATCAAAATTTATTTATATAGCACATATTAAAACAACAGTATTGACCATAGTGCTTCACAGTCAATAAAAACATGAGACAATAGGTAACAACGCAACAAGCTAAAACAGCCAACTAGACAGAATCAAAAGCCAAAGTAAAAAAATAAGTTTTAAGACGTAATTTAAAAGACTGGATAGACTCGGCAGTGCGAATATGAACGGGGAGGTTATTCCAGAGTCTGGGTGCCACGGATGCAAAGGCCCGGTCGCCTCTCGACTTCATTCGAGTCCTAGGTTGTGCTAGGAGCCTGTGGTTGGACGATCTAAGTGCTCTGTTGGGATTGTATGAATGGAGTAAATCAGAAAGATAACTGGGCGCTAAATTATTCAAAATATTAAAAGTGAACAAAAGAATTTTAAAATCTATACGATATTTAACAGGGAGCCAATGTAATTTGGCTAAAATTGGAGTTATGTGTTCATGAATTCTCGTACCTGTTAAAAGACGCGCAGCTGCATTTTGAATTAACTGGAGCCGGCAAAGAGAGGAGTGTTGGAGGCCCGAGTAGAGGGAGTTACAGTAGTCCAATCTGGATGTTTAATGTTTAAAATTTTATTTGTGAAGAAATTCATGAAGTTCTTACTAGTTAACTTTTGCTTAAAGGAATGCTACAGGTGGTAGAGCAGGTCACCTACTAATCAGGAGACTGGTGCTTCAATCCCTATCTGCTCCAGTCTGCATGCCAAATATCCTTGTGCATGATACTGACCTCAAGTTGCTTTCCAATGCATCCATCGGAGTATGAATGCGCAAGAATGTTAAATAGAAAGCACTTAAGGAGTAGAAAAAAGTGCTTGACCGAATGAGGGTGAATGAGTTTTTTGTTTTTTGTTTTTTTTTAAAGTGGTTTTAGAGTAGAGTTTAGAGTTTTCAGAGTAGAAAAGTGCTATATAAGAACCAGTCCATTTACCATTTCCCCTGGTCCTTACTGGGTTGTCTGCTTTAGGTCTGCGAGTTATACCAGGGAGTCAAGTACTTCTGGTTTGAGCCTTTCTTTTTCAGAAGAGCTACAGTATCCAGAGGTGTTCGCAGTGAAGAAGTGAAATTATTAACAAGATAATCAACCTCTATGGGAGTAGCGTTCAGGTAGCTGCTCTGCTCTGTTGGCACCAGGCGTAGACGAAGAGAATAGTAGATGAATTAAATCCTTAAACTTAGTTACAGCACTTTTAGAAAGACATCTACTGAGATGAAATCTATTCCCCACTGCTGTGTAATCCACCATTGTAAATGTAAAGTTATGTGGAAATGTTCAGTTTCTGTGCCATATGTGAGAACAAGATCTAGAGTGTGAGTGGTGGGTGGGTTCTTTTACATTTTGAAAGAAGTCAATCGAGTCTAATGATCGATTACATGCCTTGTTGAGGCTGTCAGTATCTACACTGATGTTAAAATCACCCACGATAATAATTTTATCTGAGCTGAGCACTAAATCAGATTAAAAACAGGGTCTTTGGCTAATTAACAACTGGAGTGGAAGATTGCTGCCATTTATTTAAACTAATATAATCATCCTGCTGTAAACAGGTTTCTATAAGGCAGAGTAAATCAATTTGTTGATCAATTTTTAATAAAATGGGAGAGAGAGACCTGAAGTTTAATAATCCACACTTCACTGTTTTATTCTTTGGTGCAGTTGCGGATACTGAATTGTTCTTTCTCTCGTCTCTAAACTGTTTTTTGCTGATGATTGTTTTCTTGTTGATTAAAAAAAGAAAATATATTAAGTATATCTGTCTGTTGCTATAGTATGCGAGCTCTCGAATGTCGTTTTAATTTTTACCATCTGCAGCGTGTGTCACTTGGGATGCTGAACTACCTGCGCTCTGTGGAAAGGACTTTGACCTTTGACCTGGCAGGTTTGCAGCTAGAAGGACAGGTGCTGCGCAGCACAGCGGAGGAGACGGGTTGGATGAATGTAGCCAGAGGAGGAAAAGGAGAGGCAGGTGGTCTCGGCTCTGTCCAGTATATTCACAGCACTCCTGTCGATTACAAGGTAAAAACGTATATCCTCTTGCTTCAAGTGAATTTAAAAAAATTGGTTTAACTGAGAATCCAGACATTGCTTCTTACAACTGTCTAGGTCCACTGCTCAGAGTTCATGGAGTTTGCAGAGGTGGAGAATCTTCATGATTTTTACACCTCTGAGGGTCGTTACATCCACACTCAGGACCCCAGAGGGTTTTACATCATGTACGACGCTGCTCTGCAGGACCTTGTAGAGCTGATGAATGAGCTTCTCCTCATCGGCTCGCACTTCATCCACAGAAACACGATCAAACAAATTGGAAAAACTGAGGGAGTGTCAGCCTCGACAGTAGATTTCAACTCCTGGGCTGGGACAGATGTTGACCGCGTTGCTTTGCTTCTCAATTTGTGGACATGTGAGACTGAGTTCATGGAGAGCAAAGTCCAGGTAGATTGATGGAAAAGAGGATTTGATTTCTTTTGGCTCAGTCATTTCCTGTTAGCATTGAACTTTATAGAACTACGACTGACATACTGTTACAACTGACTAACTGTGCACTTCTGTGTTTCTGCAGCTTTTAAACTGTTACTATGAAGCCTACCAGCATGCAGTGGGCACAGAGGAGAGGTTTGCATTGGCCCAAGTTATCACTGACATCATGCACAGGAAGCCACAGCTGGACCTGAACCAGGATAACTATTTTCAGGCCTGCAGGACTGAGATCAGCTGCATGCAGAGCCACCAGCGGCTGATCCGAGACATTCTGGACAATCAGGTAAACACTAAATGATGCACTGGATTGTATTTACATGTGAAGCTGTGCAATAACTGTGGTCTGTACATGAGACACACCACAGTTATATGTTGTGGTTATGTTGTTCCTCTGAACAGATAGAGAGACAGCGACTGTACCTTCAGCGCATCTGGAGAAATGATCACAAAGGCTTTATAACCAGCTATGGTCGTCCACTCGACTATGTTCCCCAATATTTGGTCTCACTTGGAGGCACAAGGCAAGTTAAAACAGCTGTGGAAGACTTTATACTATAAAACATAATTATTTTCTTCTTTTAATGCTCATGTTTTTCCCTCCTTGCGTCCTTTTGTTTTTGTTTTGTTTTTTGCAGGCCTGCTCTGATGAACGTATTCCTGCTAGAAGTTCACCCATCACTCTGTCTGGCCTCTGCAGTCTATCACGGATTGGTTCAGGCTCACACTGAACTATGTCAGTTGCACCGAGCCACGAGCATCACTGACAAACTCCACCTCGAACACAACCTTTTAGAGCAGGCACTGAAAATCTGGAACAACCAGACTTCACCAGGAGCCTCCTACAGCTCACAAATACAAAGAGATGTACATTCTTGTTCAGAGTATGTTCAGATTACTGTGTACAAAAAAATAAGCCATTTCACTAAATCCCAGTTTCTGTTGCTCTCAGTTGTTCTCAGACGTGTTTATCGAGGATCCAATTTTGGTCCAGAAGTTGGGCCTGTCACTAGTAAAAGCTGCAGAGGAGAGGGACATGAAGCAAGGACCAGACAAGCACCCCTGTGCTGTAGAAACATTGTCCATGCTGCTGGAGTTTATGAGCATCCGCCATCGCCTGCTGGAATCTGCCTCAGAGACGGCACATCTGGCACAGTTAAGAAAACACTCACAGCAGAGGGGCAGGGGTATTTACAATAGGTTCTGGACCTTTTATTTAACTCCTTTTCCCCCCATGAAGATCACATTTGACAAAGTCCTTTGTACCCTTAGTAACAAGTTTTGACACCTCACTATGCATCAATAAAGAGGTGGTTTGCTAAATATTAAACAGTTTGCAGGTTTTTCAGCCAATCATCAAGTTCTGATGAAAACATACCTGACATATAACAAACTGCTCAGTTCAGAAATGAGCTTCAAAGGTTACTTCAAAGAGTTATTATATTTACACCCAAACATATCCAGCTGCAACCTAACACATTTAAGTTTTATATAGCATGATAACACAAACAACTTTCCACTTTCAATTTCCTACATTTTTACATTTCATACTTCTCTGTCGCACCTCCTTCACTACATCCACGGCTTTTCTTCCTCTTCCTCTTTCCGTCTGGCAGCTCCAAGTTCAACACCTTTTATCCAATATATCCACTATACCAATTCTGCACATTTCCAAACCATCTCGTCCTTTTGTTTTTTAACTCTTTCTCCAAACCGGTGCTGTCCCTCTGATGTAGTCATGTTTATTTTTGTCCATGCTGGTCTCTCCCAATGGAAATCTTGACATTTTCAGCTCTGCCTGCTGTCTTTTTTGTCAGTGCCAACATCCTCAAACTATACATCACTTGTTAATTTTGTAAATTTTCCCTTTCACTCTTGATGCTATCCTGTCACTGACATTTGTCTTCACCCACTGCACCTTTTTCTTTTAGCAAAAAAAAGTTTCTGGAACAATTTTAAAGTTGTTTAAAACTTTAAACCCTCCCAGGATAAGAAGAATCCAGTTTCTATTAAACTACAGCTGTTGTTAGGTTATACTGGCTCTTTGCTGATATGTTAACATTTCTGTTCAGCCAGGATTAACCAGTTTGAATTAAATGAGTAATGTAACGTAACATTTTTTCTCAGGCTGTACAGAAATGTGGCCTTAGAGCTCGGCTTTGAGGAGTTCCACCTGTATCTGAGGCCGCTGCAGTTTGAGTGTACTGATCAGAAAGTCAGAGTCCAGCAGAGGCCTTTTTGTATCACAGAAATCCTGGAGGACGACAGCTGTGTGGACAGGTAAAACATAACTACATCTGATTTTCCAAATAAATCAATTTCATCATAGCTGAAAGCTGGAATTTTATTCTCTTTAACTAAAAAGTCTGCTGTATATTAAAAACCAGACATGTTTGCGAGAAGCTGTCAAAAAGATGTTAGGACTTAAGCAATCTAGCAATGTCTATTATTTCAGCTTCTTTACAAAAGCAGTAAACTGTGTTTGAAAGAAAATTAAAGAGGACTTTCTGCTGCAGGCTCATCCCATCCCATCTGCCTCTGAGCATCCAGGAACTGGACGAGAACCAGACCGGGAGGTTTAGCTTCAGCTCAGAGGAAGCAGTTATCCATGTGAGATTAAAGTAAACATTAAGGCTTATCAGAAAATAAATTAATACACACAAATACTTTCATGTGTTGCTTTTCCTAGCTTATGAACAGACAGAGTATCGAGAACCTCCAGGTGGCGTTGGCCTGTCAGGTTACACAGAAGAACGCCTTGATGAGTGCGGTCAAACTGGCTCGACTTTGTCTTTGGGCAGAAAGTGACTCATCTTCAGCCGAGGTTTGTGTTGCTCTCTGGTGAAAAGTAATTTCAGCTTAGAGTATTTGCCTTTCCTGTGAAGAACCTGTCAAAATAACAGTCTTAATGACTTCACACTGGACTGAGTGGGCATTGTTGTGCAGGACATCAAATGAAATCATCCTGATCAGACGTTCCCTGGTCGAAATTATGTTCTAGATCCAGAGGCAATAAAAAGAAAAGCCTCAATGTGTGTGTGAAATATTAACTGTATGTGTGCTCTGTATGTGGATGGAATTGGGATAAAATAAACATCTGTTTTGTTTTGGCATACATTTTTATGGTTGTTGATTTGAAAACGGCACAATACGGTGGATCCATTGGACTGGAAAACACAGGCTGAGTAACAATAATATGAATACTGCCCAAGGGTTAGTTGGGTCCAACATCTGAGAATAATAGTGTTTACACGCTGATTTATTGGTAATAGCATGTATTTATGACTCTTTGTACTGAACAAAAGAGTCTGAATACTGTGGTGTCATTTTTTTTTAATGCTTTTATATAAACACACAGCTGTTGAAATATTTTTCTTATCTTCTTTATTAATCTCAGAGGGAAAACAAAGATGTAACATGTAGCTCTGACAGCCACACAGGCGGCCTGCAGGAACAATATAAATCTTTTCACTCCAAACCCTCCACGAGAACTTCCACAAAAAAGCGGTATTGACTTACAGGACAAACTACACCAGTAGTGATTAACACTTTTTTTTATTTATTTTTTTATTTTGCTCTTTATGATATAAAATCTCATTTGTTCCTTCAGGGTGATGGGCGCATTTGTGTCCATCCAGCTGGAAAAAGTGGGTCTGCGTGACGAGATGCTGAATTCATTTGTGAAGAAGAAACAGGCCGTGGGGGGGTTTCTAAAAACCCCGGTGAGATGCACGCAGGTGGCTGAGCAGGATGATAAATGTGATTGGCTGCTCATGAAGTAAAATTAATTTGTCTCACTGTGCAGGAGGAGGCTGCAAAGATCAAAAGGGAGCTCATAATCGACTTTCTCAGGAAGTATGTTCTCTGGCATCCTTTTTTTGTCAAAACGGACAACCTGAGCTTTACTGAGTTTTTTCTATGATAGTAAGGTTCTTCAAAATGTTTTTTCTCAGATTCAGCACACAAATGTCTATGCACTGTGTGAGAGCTCAGATTGTTGGATATTACCACAATCTGACCTTTCTCTTGGAAGACATTCCCTACATTCGTCAGTCCTACTTCATGATTGGACAGCCGGTTGCTGATCGTTGTTCTGACCCCAGGTACAACCTCTAAGCATTAAAGAGTGATTATCCACGTTTTATTTGTGTCCTGGTTATGGTATGGTGAAACTTGTTTAAAGAATTTGAGCCAAAATGCCAAGTTTGTGCATTTTGGTACAGATGTTTCTTCAGTTGTATCCGGGGAAGCTTTTCAAACCAAGCTGTCTCCCAAACAGGATTTTTCAGCAGTTGTGTGCAGATGGAAGAACTCTCCTCAACCTCTGGTACATCCCCCACTTCACTGAAGTGCTTCGCATGTTCAAAACACTTAATGTTTCGGTGAGACACTTAAACTTGTCACTGAGACTAATATTACAGCAGGTCACAGGGTGATAACTTGAGCTTTCGGTTTCTCATGCCATGAACTAATTTTAGAGCAGATCTGTTTTTGTTCTTCACCGTGTTGGTGGAGGAGAGACGCATGTTAACACTTTCTTTCTCTGGCCTTTAACTCTCTTCTGGTCTGATTTCATTAGGCATGTGATGAGGCTCTTCGTCACACTCTGCAGATCGTGTCAGCTCTTCATGGCATCATTCATTACCTGATCAGCTTCTCCAAACTGGGAAACAGACAAGACTCTTTAAGATGGGGGAGAGGACATGATGCAGCAGGGTCACTTCTGGCGGCTGACTGGGGAGGCGCTGAAAGCATCGGTAGGTTTATTTTATAAATGAAGCGTTCCAAAAGAATTGTAGTAATGGTAATGTTTAGGGATCTCTCATGCAATGCTGAGAGTGAATAGGATGGAATGACTCAAAATTGACACATGAAAGAATAAATCTTTTTTTAATGTAAAAATTTGGTTTGTTCTGACATGACAGCATCACACAGTTGCTGCAGATTTATTGGCTGCACATCCATGATGTGAATCTCCCAATGCACCACATCCCAAAAGTGCTCCATAGAACTGAGATCTGGTGACTGCGGATGCATGAAATATTATTTTTCCATTCTTAGATAAGAGGAGAGAGAGTTACTTTTGCCTTCCTATCGGTTCAGACTGAACTGGCCATACAACTTTCATATTCATTTAACCATCTTTGCATTTCAGGTATAACCAGGGACCAGGTGATATAGTAGGAAAGAAAAACCTGGATTTGGACAGCCATTCACACATTTGTTTTTTCCTCTCTGGGTGCTGTACAGGAACAGAGTTGCAGGAGCTCCAGAAGCAGGTTGATCATCTCTCTGATCCCAGCAACCTGGAGTCTGTCGGCCGCCTGCTGCAGCTGCGCAGGCAGGTTCTCCTGCTGCAGTTTGATACTGCTGTCAGAATCTTTGTCAGGTCAGCGGTGAAATCGTCACTTCCCTCAGCTGTCTGCTACCATACTGACACTTTCTCCATGACAAAGATATTTAAAGGCTGTTTTACTTTTTTCTTTTCTGTGTTTGGTTTTATGGTTTCCTTTGTTATGATGCAGTTTTCATTGATTTAAAAAAAAAATACCAGCATTTAATAGAAAACATTTTCAAATTTTGCAAAAGAAACATGCTTTAAAAAAATAGTGTATAATATTTTAAAAACATACAGAAAAGTATGGCTTAAATTTAGTGATTAGTTCATGTTGATGCATTTTCCACTGCTGGGTGATGTGAGGTGTTTGGCCAATTCAAATATTTCAACAACTCAAAGCTTTTGCGGTATCAGTTTTTGTTTTTTGTTTTTTCCAGTTACTTGCCTGAAGTTTCCCTCCATCACTCTTCTATCACAGCTTAATAAACCTTAATAATGAAAGTATGTTTATCATGTCTAGGGAGGCTTTCCTCTCCTCTGGTGATGTTACTTCCTACCAGAGTGTAAATGACAACATGGCGAACGCTCTCCCTCCGATGATTGGCTGCATCCAGACTGACGTCTTCAGTCTCACACTGCCAGTTCCTCAACCTTTGGAGAATCAAGGCTGTCAGGTGGTGACCTCATATAATTATTTTAAAAAAACCATCCTAACATATGTTTTCAAAAAACATGAAAACACTTGAGAGGATGAGAGGAAATGTGCTCTGTCACGTCATCTTTCTGTGCCTTTGTCTGCTGCAGGCGCAGAGGATGTATCCATGGAGGAGTTTCATAGCCTGTCATGGACTGCTCCCTCTTCATGTTTGGGATGTCCCACCTACTGAACACTGCATGCAGGTTCACCACCTCATATGCTTTTTTTTCACCTGTTAATGGTGCTGATTAGACTTGGTAGATTTGGTCTTGTGTATGAATCATGTTTCCAACCAAAAATATATTTTGCCATCAATATGTCATAATTCTGGAAGTTTCTTCCTGTTAAAATGAGTTTTTCCTTCCCACTTTCACCAAGTGCTTGCTCATATGGGTTTTGTGATTGTTTGGATCTTCTCTGGATTATTGTGGAGACTTTACATTAAAATATGAAGCACACTGAGGTGACTGCTGTTGTGGTGTGACACTAAACAGATGGGACCTCAGTATTGTTATCATTAAGAGAAAAATGCTCAAGTAAATTCATGATCATCTGCTAAAAAGAAAGTCGTTGTATTTCCTATCTTTATTTATACAAATATGGGTGCGGACTTCTTTCTTGTATTGTCCTTAACCAACTACACAGCTTTGTTTGTTTTGGTTTTTTTAATGCATTGTTAAACTCTCCCAGTGATAGTTAAAAAGATTTCATGGTTATTTGCAGCTCTGTTTGAGCAGCCTGAGCAGTCGCAGCAGACTGCAGGCCAATGCTGCAATCCTTGGGGTGTCCCTGCTCATGGAGGACGTCCTGAACGGTGGAAGAGAGGCAGAGCCTGTTCGTCTCCATGGCAACAAAGATGACCTTCAGCATAGTGGCACACCTAATGAAGTAGCGACAGTTTCTAACAAGGTCATACCAGTGACGCTTCCACATTAGGGTTCACACATTAGTGAATAAAATTGTAAGTAAATCACTAAGATTGCTGATTCGATAACTATTCCTTTTTTATTGCAGGGAAATAAAAGCTGCAGTGAAGATGATGAAGAAGAGGAGATAAAGATCAATTCCTCAAACCTTCAAGATCCAATCAGAGTCCAGTCTGTGCTGAAAGGTTTTCTCCTGCTGACAAAGCAGCTGGAGGTCTTCAAGGAGAGATGGGCTCTAAGACGTTTAGGCGCCGATGTCTTCAGTACACCTGCTTTGTATCAACAGTTTGTAAAACTTTACCGGTAATTAAAGAATATCAAAAATCAGACACTCAAATAATGTTATTTACTCATATCAGAAAATAATTGTTTGTTTTTGTGACAACAAAGTTAATGTTGTTTTAGGATAATGTAAGGTATGCTTAGGTCTTTCTAATTCAATCATTGTTTTACAGCAATTATTCACTTTGTTTTTAGAGATGAAATCTTTTACCCCAGTATGAGAGCTCTGGCTAAACAAATGGATAAAGAGCATCACTATGAGGTTTTAATCTCTGGCACCCAGTCTCTTCTGCCCCCTCCTGGAGCTTCAGAGGTTGATGTGAAAGCCTGGCAGGTACAAGCACAATGAAAACTGCACAATTAAATCATCATGTCATGATAACAAGAACTTGTAGTGCTGCAAAATCTACTTTTTCCAGCTCTACCTGCTGATGGAGAGCACAGAGTGCGACATGATTAGAGCAGTGCAGAGAAAGATGAGCAGAGAGCTCACACTAGTGCTTTCAGAGAAAACTCAACAAGATAATCGGCTCCCCACAGGTGCGCATAAACACCACTGAATCTACCTTTAAATACCCATTCAAAATATTTTTACTATTAACTATATGATTGCAGTTACATAATGTTTCCACATGTAAGCAGAGCTGTGGAAAAGAAGTCAAATGAAGTACAGTTTGTCCCGTGAGAAGCCACAGATGGTGGAAACGTTCATCCAGCAGCTGATGCAGGGAGCTGAGCAGTCGGAGGGAGAGGTAGGGAAAATACCCACTGATGCTTTGTTCTCCCCTAAAGTCTTTTAATAATGTGCTGCTACTGTTGACAGGCTTCTGATTACTGTGTAGGATCTCTGCTGAAAAAGAAACTCAAACCTGTGTATTTTATCTACTTGCATTCATTGTTATTTCAAATGTGGGCTTTATAATGCTCTTAAAACCCTGCTCTGCTAAGGCATGCCTTCAAAAACACACTAAATACCTTAAATGCTTGCTCTACAAAGGCTGCCATTTCTCCTGAGCTGATTATACAAGCTGGTTGCACTCCAGCGCTATCATTATCATTTCTAACAGCCCCAAGTACACAAAGTATTTGGAAAAACATGCAAAATGTGCTGCTTATTCCTATCATTTCCAGTGCACAGGAAGAAAGTGAAGTTGTTTAGTTAACTGCTTTCCTGTCCATAAGAAGAGGAGAAAGGAGTGGGAACATGCTCAGTTAATTATGCAAACATGTGGGACAGGGAACATGAGGTGTTGCTTGGTATCGGCTTTAGGTAGACGTTTTATTTGACAGGTGTTTGAGAAATTATGTCTTATTTTAGAAAGAGAAGGTAATCAGTCCATTTCCACCAGGTTTCTTCTTCCTCGAGTCTGCAAAATAAAGGTGGCAATCACGTTTCCCACAGAGGGTATGTGGAGTAATGTACAAACTCTTTTTAAAAAGTTAAAAATTAAGGGGAAGTTTTCTCTAAAAGCAACATTTTTACAACTAAATGTTTACAAGCTGCTGTTGTGACCAGTAATGTCTTCACACTTGAGGTAATGAATGCTATGGTTATTCAGGCCTTTTATTGATTTCTTTGAACTGTTCCTACAGCAGTTATAAGTGGTGTTGAAGGCTCTTCAATAGCTTTTAACTTCACAACATGTAAACTTCTCATCAGTGATGACAGACGTGACAATGATTGAGCTATTTGTACGGTGGCCCTGAGAGGCCAAATGGACTGCAACTTAAGAAAACCAGCAATAAGAAAAACGCTGCAAAAGCACACAAAACACAACAGAAATGGGGAAAAACGGAAATAGGAAAAAAGAAAACAGATTTCTAAAAGCACAGAGGAAGTGTGGAAGTTTCTGGGGAGACAATAACCCAACGAACCAGTTGCAGGAACCCAAAACATGCTAGGTGTGTTTTATCATGATTCATATAATACTGATGATGGATTTTTAGGCTAATAGTTAGGCTAACACACTTACCTCTCATCTTTTCTCCCCCACTTCTTTTAGGTGTCTCCCAGCGCAACACTTTTTCCTATTTCTGTTTTTGTTTTTCCTATTTCCGTTGTGTTTTGCGTGCTTTTGCAGCGTTTTTCTTATTGCTGGTGTTTTCTTAAGTTGCAGTCCATTCGGCCTCTCAGGGCCACCATATATTTGGCCTAAATGACAAGAGATGTGTTTGTAGGAATGATTGTGATGCTTTCTAACCTAAGAACACAGTGCCAGCTGTCCAGCACGGTGGTGGTAGCATCATGGTCTGGGGGCTGTTTTGCTTCCAGTGGTACTGCTACATCACACAAAGTGGATGCAATAATGAAGGAAGAGGGTTAACTCCAAATTCTTCAACAATTGAAAACTTATGGTAAAATGGTAAATGGCTTGTATTTGTGTAGCGCTTTTACTCATGGGCTGCGCTTAAAAGCCAGGTCCAACAAATTTAAATGAACTCTACCAAGAGAGGTGGTCAAATACACAAATACAACAATTACACCAGAAACTCATCGATGGCTTCTAAAAGTGTCTGGTTGAAGTGTAACTTTGCTAAATGACATTTAACCAAACATCAGTGGGGGTCTCTGTATATATTTGACTCTGTATGGATAAAGAAACCCCTTCTTGTTTTTATGCTCTACAATAATTCTACCCTGGAAAAAGAGCAGTTGAAAGACATCATTAAAAGCCTAAAATTACGATGACATTAATTTCCTTCTGACTACTCTTGTAAGTATCTCTTTCACATGTATTGTGTGAAGAAATGCCAACACATAGAGAATATAACAGTGCAGCTTGTTGACTATTAAAACTTATATCCCAAAGAATGGGGGGGGATAGAGTATTAATGCAAGTTGCTAAACTTTAGATATTCATTAATAATATTCTTGGTTTTCTTTTTTAGCTGAAGGTCTCTCGGGATCATCTGCAGCAGTGTCTCACTCACCTCGGCTCCTCAGTGATGGAGCGAGAGCGTCAATGCTTTCTGCTTTACTCACAGTTTTATGAACAAATCCTGCAGCAGCACACTCAGCTTCTGTACGAGAGAGAGCAGGTACATGTGTGGAATATCTTTTTATCGGAGTAAATATATTATTGGCAGTTTATATTTTTTTAAAAAATGAAATCTATTATCTTTCACTATTTTAACTGCAGGATTTGAAGAGTTTGAAGGACGCTCAGACAAGTAATTCTCACAAAGAGGTACACACAGTGATTCCCATCTGTAGCTTCTATGATTTTGTGAGTTAGTAGCAGAAAAGCAGATTTGAGCTGCTTTAGGAATGTAAGTCATGTTTGAGATCGAGAGCTTTCAAACAAAACTACTTTTGAGCTCCATTAATCCACAGGTGGCAGATTTATGCCGTGGGATGATGTTGGAGGTCTCAGCCCTGCGGGCCCAAGTTGCTCACCTGGAAGAAGAGAAAATTAATTTAGAGGAACAGCTCGGCCTCACATTCAAAGAACGCTACCACCCTCTGGTCCGACACCTTTTCTCTACCTGCATCCAGTTAAAGGTGAAAGAACAAGGCCCCCTGTTAAAGGGCTACAACAAAACTTTCACCCTATGCAAATTTTAGCCTCCGTTTTGAGTTCTTAGCTGGCAGAAGTGACAAAGTGTGACTCTGTAGTTTTCACCAGTTTTGTGTTAGCAAGTAGCTGAAGTGGTGAAAACGACAACGTGGCTGGTAAGTGTACTGTTTCTTTATAACTAGAATATATACTTGCCCTTTTCATATATCATATTTGAGCAGAAAGCGGGTGAATGACACTTTCTCAGACGTTTCTCTGTACCATAATAATTTGCTAACATCTGATTGCTGGTGTTCTCCTTATAATATTGTAAGATCTTTACCATGCAATATAATGCACCTTGTTATGACTGTTGTTGATGCTATAGAAATATAATTGATTGGACAATAACTTTAACCTATGTGGTAAAACGTTGTTTATTCTTTAGTTCTTTATTCCTGAAATACATAAACAAGTGTTATTTTGTCATATCTCACATTTTGATTTGTTAAAGACTTGTTTGGTGATTTTGTTTGGCTTTCAGGCCAGACTTGATGAATATCCCCGACAAATGAGGCGGGACATAAGTGTGATAGTGAACAGAGCACGGGGGGAAGGAGTGGACAAGATCATCAAGCTCAAGAAGAGGTACGGCTGCACCAAAGACAATGATGGACTCGCCCTCACACAGTTAAAGGTACGGAAAGTTTTTATGTGTAGGCAGTTAAAAAGAGCAGAAGTATTGAAGATGATCTGTGAATTGTACCACTTTCATACCTGTTATCTTAAGAAGGAAGAAGTCCACGAGTTGAAGCTGGAGAACAGCCGGCTGACTGCTCTGCTCTGTAAACTGAAGGCTCTGAGATGCTGGAGGAAGGTGGTCGACCAGGAGAAACTTCACAGGCAACTGCTCCAAACCAAGCAGGTTAGCAGCAGGATGAAGAAATATTCAGCAATCAGAAATTAGCTTTACCTCTTGCAGGGAGGGAACATGAGGCCATCAAGTAAAAGGGAAAAGCATGAATATGCTTAGTTGTAGGATTTAAACAAATAATGTAACAATGTTACATGTACTCATGTACTGCAATTTAAAAGTTTAATGTTTTCTTTTGCTTAATCCTCACTAATTTTGTCAGCTTTGCATTATTTTTCTAAGCCCATATTTATACATTTATGAACTCATACCACACTGGTCATTTTGCAGAGGGAGGTTACCGCTCGCACCGAGGCTCTCAGAGTGAAAATGCTATCAGAGGATAAGGTGGCTCTCCTGCAGGGGGAGCTGGACTTTGCACAGCAGGCGCTGACCTGCTCTCAGGCCGAATGCAGCAGCATCAAGAAGCAGCTCAGCAGGAAGGTACATGCACTCCTATCCACACCTGCTACATCAGTTAACATCAGCTGCAACTGCAAATACTCTGAAATTCATTAAAACTATGAAATGTTTGGTTTGTATTTTTTAAGCTTGGTGAAGGTGCTGTTGAATGCTTTCAGAAGCAGTGCAGGTTTATTTTAATGCCAGGATTTTAAAAGTTAACTACATTTTTTTGCCTCGTTGCTGATCCTACAGACACTTACATTATATTGCAGCTTCTCCAGCTTTCTCTTGTTGGCTTTTTTGGATCTCTGAGGACAGGATCTGGGTTTTTGGAGGCTCACTGCACATGTTGAAGTGTTTAAATCACATTTCGCTCACATAGACTTCCTAATTCATGTAAAGCTTTTCAGTTTTGACAGTGGCAAGAGCTGTCAGGAGAAGAAGCCTGGATATATTCACTGAATGTTTGCTGGTTCTCGCTCACAGACAGAGGAGCTCCAGGTGTTCAGGCATCGGTCTGCACGGGAAGCCCGCAGCAGACAGGAGCTGGACGCTCATCGAGTGCAGACCTTGGAACAAATGAGAGCCGACATGGAGGATAGAGACAGACAGCTCAGGGCCCTCGGTGAGCAGCTGGACAGAGGCAGCAGGATAAACAGGCTACAAAGAGAGCGCAGTGCCAAAGAGATCCGGCAGGTCTGTACGTTAATGTGTTATGCACCACTGATTGCAGGCTGTCTTCTGTGCAAACCCTAAAAAAAATCCACTTTTCATGAGCTAAAAAAAACCTGTGGTCAGTGGATTTTAAATAGATCATCCAAAGAAATACAATTTTTAAAAAGATGATGGTATTTTAAGTAAATCAACATCTGAACATCTTAACTGAGAGTCAAATAAAACCAATTAACAGACTATATCTGTAGGTTCTCAGTCTTTCAGGTCATGGTAGTCTTCAGCACTAGTTGGACTTCTTTTCAATTCATGAAGACTTTTCGCTTCATCCAAGAAGCTTCTTCAGTTCCAGTGTAGAGTCCCAGGTATTTACCCACCATGGAGGTTATGCAGAAAGTCACTGATCCACCCCGCAACCACTTGAGTTATTAATGGTCATATGATCCAAACTGTGAATCAAGGTGTGGTTCTTGATCGCTGGGCAGGCTTGTCAGAAATTACATTTCTAAGAAATTATGATGGAACAACTCAGTATAACATGCAAGTGTATGTCAAATCCAGCAACACCCTTAGAAAAGCACTGGTTCATCCCAAAGGCACAAACACAATCTAAGCAACGTAGTGTGTGCTGCTCAGTGCAGCAAGGAGTGCTCATAACGTTACACGGGAAAACCAGACAACCACTCCACAGACTGATGGCTCAGCAGAGAAGAACTCATCAGGACAGACTGTTTTCAGGATGATAATGTTCATACTTTGGCCTGAGAAGCCATCAATGTCCACTCTGAACGACTCTCATTGAAAAGGCACAGTGCCCTCCAATACCAGTTATCAGAAACCTCAATTAATACCTCCCTCCTGATTTCCTATCTTTAAATGGTAAGTGGAGTGATTCTTATATAGCGCTTTTCTACTCTCCCGGCATACTCAAAGCGCTGTATACAACATGCCACATTCACCCAATCACACCCATTTTGACAAGCACTGACTCTAAACTGAGTGCTTTTCTAACAACATTCACACTCCGATAGATGCATCTGAGAGCAACTTAGGGTTAGCTATTTGCTCTTAAAGTTTTTCACTAGCCACAGCCAAAAATCTGGCCAAAATCTGACAGTGATGTAGGGTAAAAGTCCAGACCTAAATCCAATTGAGATGAATTCATCATTTAAAAAGTGATATTTTTGTATATACTTGGGGTTACCTTTGTCTAATATTAATATAATGCAAATTAAAGGGGTGGCTGTAGCTCAGGAGGTAGAGCAGGTCACCTACTGATCGGCAGGTTGGCGGTTTGATCTCTGGCTCCTCCAGTCTGCATGCCAAGTATCATTGGGCAAGATAAAAAAAAAAGGTTGCTCACAGTTATTTCATGGTTTAAAAAGGGGGTAATTATACTTTTCACACAGGGCCAGGTACGCTTTAGATCCCCCCCCCCCCCCTTGATTAATTAAATAATCATTTAAAACTGCATTTTGTATTTACTCGGGTTATCTGTGTCTAATATTGAAACATGTGTGACAAAAAAATGGGGAAAAAAAACAGGAAAGGGACAATTTTTAACAGAACTGTATAATGCAGTCTTGAGATCCCATGTGATTCAACAGTCACACTTTGACCACGTGACCTTAATGGATTGCGTGATGACACGACTCTCAGGACCACCTCCAATGGGACAAATCCACGAGGGGTTGAATACCTGAGTCTCTTCATCAGTTTGCAGAACTGAAGAAACCTCTTGGATGAGAGGTTAAAGGATTTTTGCAGTGCCTTGGTGCAAAAATCCTGTAGAGATACTTACAGATACAGAGTTAGTCTTGGCCTCATTCTGGTGATAGATCTGTCAAGTCAATATCAATGCACATGGTGTTTTCATTTTAAATTTAAGCAGGAATAAAAAAAACCAACAACTTTTAACCACATTGTTGGGGTCCAGGTGAGGGGGCAGCTACAGCAGCAGTGCAGCCTTAAACAAGAGGCCTTTCAGCAGCTGGATAAACTGCAGAACCAGATGAACGATGTGGAGGCAGCTCTCCCCAGAGGAGCTTCGACAGCAGGTAAAAGCCTTCCAGGCTCTGCTGATACTCAACAGGATGACAGACCAACAGCTCGCTTTGCCTGTAAGATTTTGTCTGCTTCAGACATTCTTGACTTGACATTTCACTCCTACTTTCTCGGTATCGTTATATCACAGGTCAAAGCAGGACTTATTGCACGCTGTCAGTCAGCAGACTGAGTACTAGAAGTCCCTCGACAGGTACTGAGCCCACCACCTTCATCTCAGAGCATTGAAGCAATAACGTAAAGCTGCTCATGCGGTTCATGAGTGAAATCGAAAGCCATCAGATTATCCAGACACTCATATCTTTTTGTGATGACATTTTAAATTTCTTTATAGATGTTATTTTCACACTGCAGCATAGCTCTCACTCTGTTCTATTTCTGTGTGCACAGGTCTGCACCGGAACAGGCTGCATTCAGCCCTGCAGCCTGGCAGCCTCACAAACTACACCACACCTCAGGACTTTGCAACAGAGCCAAGACAGCAGAGAGCAGAAACAGCCAGAGGTCTTTCAAACACGAGCACAGACAGATCTAAAGCAGTGAGTGAAATAATCATTTAAAAACTTGTTTCATCTCTAATGTAAAAAAACAAGAAATTGGGTGGGGAGATACTTTTTTTTTTTTTTTTTTTTACAGCACGGTACATTTTGGAGTTTTAAAGCATATTGAATTCACTGGTGTCCCAACTAATGAAGATTACGTCTACATAATAATAGGACAACTACTAAATGGTGAACGTAAAGCGAGACAGTACATTGCTGGTTTCAAGGTCAAGAATGTGTGAAAATGCTTTTGCGGTCACCCATCTTCAAGGATTCAAGGAGCTTTATTGCCATTCGCATCACAAGTTAACATGAGGTGGAAAGAAATTATGCACACACGGTCCCGGAGCGAAAATAATAATAATAATAATGAAGAAACTGATTTTTTTTTTAAGTAATAAATAATAGTTGTTGGTCTTTTGTTTTGTTTTTTAACAAACAGAATAACAAGTAATAAAATAAGACGATAAGTTGAGTGCAGCAACCTGAGTACCAGTATGGATATAGAGTGTAGGTATAAATACTTTAGCAGGTGTCTTTAAGTGTGAAATTCTGAGCAGCAGAGACTGCCTCTTCACATTAAAGACAATCTGGATCTGTTTCGTCAGACGGGTATAGCAGGGTGCCCAGTTTTATCTCTTAGATGTTCAGCTTGAATCCGCCTTTGTTTCTCTTTCAGGATCTGTGTCGCCTGCGCCTCCCGATAGCCGAGGCTTTGTTCCCAGATCTGTGAGGTGCAGCAATCAGTCACACACACAAACTTGATTAGCAGATTAGCTTGCTGTAGGCTTGCCTGTAGTGTTTTATAGCTCTGTGTGAACTGAATGTTATCTATTCCATTCCCAAAGCTGTGACATGCATGTCTTCCCTTTAACCTACAGCACAGCATCTTGATGTTGCTCCTCTCCATATTTCAGTAACTTTTTAAATATTCAAAATAAATACTTTCAAAGCTCTTAACAAAACTCTTATCACTGATATTTTACTTTCTGGATATTTCTATAATTTGCCTTTATTTTTATCCGTACTTAACTTTTGTCAATTAATAGCATTACATCATGTCTACTTAAGGTTTCTAATACTCATATTAGATATATACCAATTTGAGCTTATTGCAAATTTATCAAAGGAATCATGTCAGTTCATTTTTCAGTTGTAGAATGAGTTTGGTCACATCTTATGAAATAAAACCAAATGATGACGTTTTTAAGTGGGCAAAAACAAAAACCTGTTTTGTCATAAGCGCTAAAAAAAATCATTAAAAATAATAACTGTTTAGCATCTGTTGCATAGTAACTGTCTTCTGTTCAGACTGTACATAAAAGGTGGAGATAGCCATGTTTATATCAACCATTTGATTGTGAACAAACCTTTTAAAGACTCCAATTGAGCGTTTTGGAAGTGAGGATCTTGGAACCAGTCCTACCTGCAAAAGCTACCCGCTTTATTATCACCAATTTTACAGTAATTAATAAAATGATTAAATACCAATAAATACAAATTCAGGTTTAAGACACTTTTCACTTTTCAAACCTGGAAACTGAAAAATATCACATTTGTTTGTTTGGGAGTTCCTCCATTATGGCTCCTGATATTCCTGCCTTTCGTGTCATGGACTGAGATCTGAGTGCTGCCTCAAAGGCCTCAAGGGTTTTCACACATGGCCACTAACAACATGTCATTAACTTCAGCATCATTTTGGGTGTTTGACAATCATGCTGATGATGTAGGATCAACTGTCGCTGTATTCCCCAGCTGGATGATAAAAGGCTCTTTGTGACTGCTTTTGGCGAGTAAGATAGTGCTGCATTCGAATGGAAGTGACAGATTTGTCTACAGACACATGCCAGTAAAAGTGGCGCCCTTTGACACATGATTGCTGCAGCACTGAAGCAAACTTCTACTTTGAAGTCGAACCTTCTCCTTTTCTGGTTTGTGTCCGACTTTATCATGATGTACTATCAGTTGGCCAGTAGCTGGCAAGTATTTGCCATCAGACATGAAAAACTCCAGGTAACCATGGCAATCTGCTTGCAACCAAAGCAATAACCAGAAGGTTTTTGGTTCAACACCTTTGTGTCTGGGGGCTCTTTGGATCACTCATATCAATCTCAGACACCTGTCGTAATTAGTTAACCAGGTGAGGCCAATTAAAGGAAAACTATACTTAAGACAGATGTTCCACATTATTAATCATGCCACAGTTTTTAAGCAATATGGCAAAGAACAAGGATCTGCTTCAGAAAAGTGTCAAACAGTGCAATACCTTGGGCAAGGTATGAAAGATATTAGATATTTCACACACAAAGTGTGATCATTGTGCTGCGCAGAAATTTGTGGCACAGATAAAGGCATAATGAGGAAGGTATCTGCCAGACAAATTCATCAGATTACAGTGGTGTAGTGTGTGGAAGGAAACACAGCAGTATAAAAAGGTATGCTTATATTTTTTTTTTAATATAAAAAATTCATTAAAGAAAATACAAACTTCATCTTTTAATACTGCTACCTTTGACTATGGTCAGTTTTGTCTGTATATAGTTGATCTCCACAGTAGCACCATCAGATTTAAGTTCCCGGTGGTCCAGATCACTCTCAGCTCTCCTGTGGCAGTCCGGTGGTGTACAGGTAGGACACAGTTCCTGATTGGATCTGAAATGTCTGTCCTTGGATGTGATGGTTGGAGATCTGCTCGCTAGTCTGACTGATGGAGATCGGTTGGCTGCTCTGGCTGCTGACGTGAATAGCCCGGCCTTGTTGTTGTTCCCTGCTCACCTGCCCCTCCGAGGGCTCCTGAGCAACAGGCAGCTGCTGGATTGGCTGATGCATCACCTGCAGCTGTTGAATGGGACGCTGTGTTATTTGAAAGGGCTGCGCAGGACCGTGATGGGCCTGCAGCTGCTCCATAGCCTCTTTACTCAAAGTGATAACATGCATCTGCTCAGCCTGGTGCATCATCTGACCCTGCAGCATACTTATAGTGTGGATCTGAGAGGTCTGATCCACCACATCACCCTGAGTGACCAACGCCACATTGTGCACGTGCCCCGATGGCCGGGCGAGGAGGGTGAGTTTAGAGGGGGCTGACTGAGCCATCTCTCCCTCTGTGCTGATGAGGCTGATCTCGTGGTCCTGACCCGGGATAAAGTTAATGTGGTCCACATCCTCTGTCACCACCACCTGGAGCTCCTGTTCAGAGGTGGCAGGCAGCTGGTACTGCTGCAGGTGAAGGATATTTTGCACCTCTTCCTGCGGGGCTCCAGAGCCATCTTTTGCCGCAGTATCCGATGAGGCCTCTCCACCCGCAGCTCTCTCCTTGTTGTGGGATTTGGTGTGTGTTTTCAGATTGTCCAGGCGTGTAAAAGAAAGGCTGCAGAAGGAGCAGGTGAAGGGTTTCTTCCCCGAGTGGGAGGCAACATGTCGTCGTCTTGCACTGGGGTCTGAAAAGGACTTCTTGCAGATGCTGCAGTTATAAGGCTTCTCACCTCTGCAAAACCAGATATTGAGGCAGTTATGACCACGTCTCCTCCTGGGTTTGTATATTATACAGCAGGGAGCAAAAACTGTTAAAAGTGGAGTGAAAATCAAATATAACAGCTGACCTGTGGATTCTGATGTGAGTCTGCAGTGTGCTCTTGGCTGTGAAACATTTTCCACAGATTTCACAAGTGAAAGGCTTCTCACCTGTGTAAACGTTAACACCATCAGCTGCTGCAGCACACGCTTCCATAAAGCAGATATCAATAGCAAAAGAATGACTTGGAGAGCTGATCTTACCTGTATGAGTTCTCACGTGCTTTTTCAGTTGAGCTGCATCCATAAACTTGTGATGACACTGAGCACATTCTGGCAATGATTTCCCTTTATTTAAAAATAAAGATTCAATGATTTTACCTTCAGATTGATTGAATGCACTGACCAGATCTCTGGCAGTTTCCCCATGTCTTACCTGTGTGAACTCTGTAATGGCTTTTAAGTTGTCTTTTCTGAGTGAAGGTCTTTCCACATTTATCACAGTCAAAGGATTTCTCTTCTAAAGAAGCAAATAAAACAGCTCATGAGAGATCAACATCGCAATATGCTAGAGCACTTCGGCTTTAGTGCCATTAAGAGAAGGAAGTCATCTCTACAGCCAATATCCATCCAAAACTAGGCAACTCACACCAAATTAAGCTAGGTAAATCAAAAGCATAGGCAAGATACAAAATGTGGGCATTTGATTTTTGGGCACATTTAAAAGAGTTGTATTAAGAAGTAATAGGTAGTAAACTGAAAATCCTTCCGGTTTTCCTAGCCAGAGAAACAAAACCCCTTAATTCTTCTTAGAACATCTTTTTACCCCTTAGTTGTAAAAAGCTTTTTCCCTACATTTCTTCATTTATGTTAAAGAAGGCATGTATTTACTGGGCCCAAGTGTATCTAATAGAAGTAAAATGTAGTATTTCATTATATTATAATAACACATGAGATCCCAATCTATTTCCCCCTGTGACTT